AGCAGTGAGGATCTCAGAGAGCCCCTTAGGCAGGGTGTCCTGCCCTTCAGCTCTTGAGAAAGCAGGTGTGAGAAAGTCTTAGTTTATCGACTGTACCTGGTGCCTGAGGCCCTGTGGAGTGACAGCTCAGATTGAACACAGGGGCGGGGCATTGTTTTCTCTGTGGAAGCCTAGATAAGGAACCTGGCTGTTACAGAAGGATCTGAACCAGCCCTGTGATAGGCCCCGCCTTCCTGGGGTTGAACCCTGTTTGAATCCTGGGTAAACAAGGTCTCCTAACTCAACGAGGTCAGTACTCAGTCAGCTTGGGGTCATTACAAGCTCTTAGAGGTGCGGTGTCTCCCGGGTCCATACTTTGTCAGCTGGCCGGCTTTCCCTCCTTCAGGAAGTCTTGCCAGACGCATGTTCCACTGTCCATACTGTAAGGATGTCCGACCAACATTCTGTACTATGTTCACACACAGGTTTGTCCCAACTAGTCCCAACTGCCATGTGCCATATCAAGGGTCTTTCTTATTCACTGAGTACTTTCCAGCACTTTTAAATCTACACACAAGATAATTAGTCCTGGGAATTTTTTGCTTAATTTTATAGATGTCTTATTTTTAATTTTATTTTCTATTTTTAAAATCATAATCATTGTTTTCAAAATTCTAATTTATACGTCATGAATGTATCTTCTGCTTCTGACTCCTTTCAGATATGCAGAGTTGGAGGCCATGAAGTACATCTGAAAGGGAACCACAGTCTCTGCTAAATCAGATCTACTCAGAAGCAAGTCTCCGGACAGTGAGATGGGAAGAGTTAAGGAGGTCCCGATGGTTAGTGGGGCCTGAGACGCGACCTGGGAGAACGCGTCTGTACTAGAGTGCCAAAGAGGCTCCTAAGGTGATAGACAGCATCAAGTTCCCCTTCCTCTAGTACCCCTCCCACCGCATCCCTTCTCCTAGGCTAGTTAGTGCAAGACTCAAGAGCAAGCGGGTTTGAACTTCCTAAGGAGTCATTCCCATGATGGACGCCAGGTGGCGCCAGAGCCCACGCTGCCGGCTGCCGCGTCCCAGACAAACCCTCCCCTGGAACGGAGCATTGACTTTCAAAGGAAAACTCTTATATATACAAAAACAAACAAAATAGTAGAGTAAAAAGGCTAACCCAGTTTCCCTAGACCTCAGCCCAGGCGCCTGCTCCTCTGTAAAAGTCCAGACTACCCACTGCTCCGTCTGTAAATATCTATTACTAATTTGATAAAAATAAGCACCTTTCCCCCAACATTTGTGTGTGTGTGTGTGTGTGTGTGTGTGTGTGTGTGTGTGTGTGAGTCCACCTCAGTGTCTTTTTCAAGGCCATTTTTTGTGACACGTTGACTCACCTGGGAGATCCCGAGTAGTCTTGCTGTGCCAATCAATATCCTTAACCCAGTCTCTCCTGCAAACACCCTTTCCCCAGCCTAGGCAAGGTCCATGCCCTTAGAACCCCGCGTGTTTGGGAGCCACAAGCTGCAGATTCTGGAGAGGTGAGCGACTGGCTCAGGGTGTAGATGACACAGTGGTGAAGTTGACATTGAGGCCCAAGTCTATCAGACTGCGAAATCTAAATACACGTTTATCCCTCGTTTCTCCTCGAGACAGTTTGTCCCCACCTCAGTTCAAACAGTCCGGCCACATGAGCTGATGGACACCAGAAAGTTTCGCTGCTGGGGTGGGATCTATCTCTTCACTGAGAAACAACTACCAGCAAGGAGAGCTGCAGAGGGGTGCAGACTATTACCTCACCAATCTGCGCCTTATCCATGCCATGGTGCATGGGCCTGCATCTGGCTTGCTAGGGGAGGAGAGAATAGCTGGGAAGTAAGCTGACTGCACTTGGTGAGCGCAGGTGTCCAGAAACCATGGTAGAGTTTGGCATGAGAGGATGGAGCACTCCAAGAGCCCTGCCTCCCCCTCCTCTCATATTAATAAAATTAATCAAAGCACTGGGACCTCTGCCTGTTTGCTTTCTATTGCTGGAATAAATACCACGACCAAAGGCAACTTGGGGAGGAAAGGGTTTATTTGAGTTTTCTATCAGTAGTCCACGTCACGGGTAATGCAGCACGGATATGTGGGTTTGTGTGGGTCCATGAAATGAAGACTCAGAGACACCTTGAGACCAAATTTAGCCTTTCAACTACAAGGGGCTCAGCCTCCAGGGACTGAAGTCTTTCCCTTCGTCTCTTGGCATTTTTATTTTTCTCTATGTTTACACTTTAGCGAGTAGGTTTATCTCAAAACAAACTGAATGAAGCTCCCAAAAATACAAAGCCAAGTGCAAATCCCTGATTCATGAGGTACCACGGGTTTCCAGGTTTTCCCTAACCAAGTTTTGCATAAGCTTTGTATCCATTGGAAACTCTCAGACAAGATTCACGTTGGGCAGCAAAAGGTATCTGTAACGCAAAGGATGGTTTAGGGGCTGGGTACTAAATCCGGAGCTAGGTTCAGTATGGCTAGTAGGGTTTCACGGCTAGCCTCCCAAGGCTGCTTGCTATCCCTCTGGTCCCAGGCTGGCGGGACATCATGCCACAAGTCCATCATGAAGGGAAGTCAGTGCAGGGACTCAAGCAGGAGTAAAAACAAGAACCATTGCTTCCTGACTTGTTCTTCATGGCTTGCTCACCTTCATTTCTTATACAGTGCAGGGTGGAGCCCACAGTGGGCTGGGCCCTCCGATATCAGCCATCAGTCAAGAAAATGCCCCACTGAGGCTGCCTGTTCCCGAGTGTTCAACTGACAAAAAACCAACCAGTACGATTGACCCCTTGTCAGCTAGACACACACAGCACTATGAGACTATAGCCTTTCTTTTCTTGCTTACCCCTAATATTTCTTTCTTTTTTCTTTTCTTTTTTTTTCTTTTTGGTTTTTTGAGACAGGGTTTCTCTGTAGCTTTGGAGCCTGTCCTGGAACTAGTTCTTGTAGCCCAGGCTGGCCTCGAACTCACAGAGATCCGCCTGCCTCTGCCTCCCAAGTGCTGGGATTAAAGGTGTGTGCCATCACCGCCCGGCCTTACCCCTAATATTTCATGTTAATATCACAACATAAAACATAGTCCAGGAGCTGGAAAGATGATAGCTCAACAGTTAAGAGCACTGTCTGCTATTCCAGAGGACCCAGGTTCAATTCCCAGCACCCACAAGGCAGCTCACAACTATCTGTAACTCCAGTTTCAGGGGATCTGACACCCTCACCCAGACATACAAATAGACAAAATACCAATGCACATAAAATAAAAATAAATAAAATCATTAAAAAGGAAAAATATAGTTGAACTTTAAAAGTCCTACAGATAACTGGGTATGGTGGTACACTTTAGTCCCAGCACCCAGGAGGCAGAGGCCAGCCTGATCTGCAAAGTCTTGGTCAAGGACAACCAGGACTACAAAGAGAAACCTTATCTTGAAAAGCCAAAACAAAACAAAAACAAAAAAAGGATCAAAACAAAAATAAAAAAGAAACCCACAGCTTTAAAAATTTTAACCCTTTATAAAGGTTCGATGTCTTTTTAAAATACCAAAGTCTCTTCACTTTGGGCTCCTATTAAATAAGAGTGTTACTGTACTTTTTACCCTAGGAAGTGAGATTGAGGGAACAGTCTCAATCAGACCAAAGCAAAACCAGACTCCATTTTAAATAGCTCAGATGTCTGGCCTCTAAAGGGCTTGGCTAGCCCCACCTCTTTACTTCTGCCACCTGTATCCTGCACAGAAGTCTATCTGGACCCCAGCTTCTGTGTGCTGACCCCGAGGAAATGTTTTTCAGAAGCTTCTACCCTAAGGATGCTTGTCCCTTCTTAATCAAAGCTGATTTTTCAGCCCCAGCTAACCAGCATTGATTGTCCCAGCAAAGCAAAGCTTTCTCTCCAGGGGTCTGGTCTCTTGTCAGCCAAGGTCAAACTGACCAGAACCACAGATCCTTAGTGAAGAATTAATTATTAATTAATCATCACACAGCAGCCGATGGAGTCTGTGCTTCCCTCTGGACTGTCCCAGCCCAGGCCTCTGTTATCTTCACGACTTTCAGCACTTCATGGCTTTTCCAGCCCCAAATTTCAAATGCCTCCATCATTCTTCCCAAAACAATGTGGTCAGGTCTGTCACGCAGGAGTCCATGTCTGGTACCAACCTCTGGCCTAGTTTGCTTTCTGTTGCTGTGATAAAATACTGACTAAAAAAAAAAAAGGCATTTATTTGGCTCATATGTCCTGATTACAGTCGCTCATCAGGGGCAGTCAGGGTAGGAGCTCAAGCGGGCGCAGGGGCGGAAGCCGCGGAAGAATACCGCCTACAGGCATGCTCTTTATAACTTGCTCAGCTTGCTCTGTTTTACAAACCAGAACTCCTGTCCTGGGATGGCGCCATCCTTAGTGAGCTTGGCCCTCCCACACCAATCATCAGTCAAGAAAATGCACCCCCCAGACCTGTCCACAGGACAACCCAAAGAAGGCGGTTCCTCAGCTGAGGGCCCTTCTTCCAGACGACTCTAGTTTGTGTCAAGTCAACAACAATGAACCAGTACAACCACCCAACAAAACCAAACACTGAGGGAGTGACTCCCTGGCTGAGTAGGGACTGTTGTTGACGTCACACGAGTCAGACAGGGAGGAGGACAGTACCGTGAGGGAGGGGAGGCTAGCAAGGCATGGCGAACATGTTTCACATTTATTATCATTCCCACATGAGGGACTGTGAAATATTACATAATGCAGCCGTTACCCAGTACATCCACCAGTGAGCTGCCTCTCGTGACCCAGAGATGAAGCCATAGAATTCATGTGTCTCAATGACCCAGTTTCTTCACATACATGCACACACAACATGCACTTGTTCACACACAAATACACACAAATACACATATCCCACCAACAAAGACCCATAAGCTTCTTCACCCACAGGGACACACATGCACACACAGGGACGCAAAGTTAATAACTCCAAACCTCATAGGGATCCTGATTCCATCTATCAAGCTGTATTTTTTTGCTTTGTTTTTTCACATTCATTGTGTATGTGTAGCTGTTACCCAGTATATCAGCCAATAAACTGTCTCTTGTGACCCAGAAATGAAGCCATAATAATTCATATCTGTCCAGGATGGGAGAAAGCCAGACAAACATCTCACCATTACATCCTGGTTTCCGTGTGATCCTGAGATGGGCAAGGAAGACCTGAACCAGTGCCCTGTTCCCTTCACCTGTGCTCTGGGTGGTTCTGCAGACAAGGGATCATCTCTGCAACTGCTCTGCCCTCGTGGCAGATCTGATACACAACTGTGAACAGTGGGAACTTGTCCAGCAGCCCCTTTTTCCTGAGGATGCGGTACACCTGGGCAGAGGTATGTGGTCCTTGCAGCTTCTGTCCATTCAGCATCTCCTTCTCCAATTCCTCAATCGTCTTTCCTGTCCGGGCGAAGGCTTCAGCTACCTTACGGTTTCGTCCCCCATAGCAGCTACTGACAAGATCAGCCACCCCACAGCTCTCCAGGAAAGTGGCTGTAGACACCTGGCCCTTGCAGAAAGTCCTCCCAAAAGCAATCATTTCCTTGAGGCCCAGGCGGATGACAGTAGCCTTGGTGCTGTCTCCACAACAGAAGCCGTCGCAGAAGCCGACCCCCATGGCGACGATATTCTTTAGAGCCCCACACAGCTCCACCGTGTCTGAGTCTTCCACCACAGTGACCCGGAATTTGGGGGTCTGCAGCAGCTCTTTGAAGAGAAGGCCGTTCTGCAGCACCTTGCTGCCGATGGTTGTCTCACAGAACTGCTCTGCAGCCACCTCGCTGGCTATGTTGGCCCCCATCAGCACACTGACGTCTATGTCCACCTTCTCTCGGATGATGTCAGAGACAAGCTTCAGGCCCTCGGGGCCCTCGTCTATGCCCTTGATGAGGCTGAGGCCCAGGGCTGTCTTGGGAACTATGTCGGCAATCTCATCACAGATGGTTCGAACAAACTGGTGTGGGGAAGCAAATACCAGCAGGTCTGCATCCTGAACAGCCTGGCTGAGACTCGGGGTGGCCACTACATTCTCTGGCAGCCTGTGTCCAGGCAGGTACTTGACGTTTTCATGGTCACTATTAATAATGTCTGTCAGCTTCCTCCCGCTGACCACTTCTTCGAACACCCACATCTTGACTGTGGGTGCGAACTTCTTCATGTTCTTCACGTTGCTCCCGATGATTTTTGAAACAACTGATCCCCAGTTCCCGGAACCCACGATGCACACTTTCAGGGGCTTTGCCACTACTTCCATGCCGCTATCCTGCCGTGGGGACTGTGCCTTCCCAGCTGACTGCTGTCTTCTGTCTGCTTGGGCTAGCCTGCAGGTACCCCGCCCTGCCGGCCTCCCTACCCGCCTGAAAACGACATTCATGGCCCGAGTTTGGTGGTTCATGCCTGTAATCCCAGCATGTGGAGGCTCAGGAGGAGAACAGACTCAGGTTCAAGGACAGCTTGAGCTACAGAGTGAGACTCTCTGAAAATAAAAAAGATAAAAAGGTTTTTTTAAAAAGGCGGCGGGATGCAGCTCACTCAGTGGGTAGAGAGTGCGTGAGGCCCTGGATTCTTGCCCCAGTGCTGCCTAAGGTACTGTGGGAACAAACACCCACTGAATGCCCCAGCCGGGGATGCTGGCGCTGGGGAAGTAAGGACAGGAGGGTCAGATGGTCAAGGTCAGTCTCAGCCCCAAACAGAGTTAGAAGCCAACCAGGGATACATTCTCAAAGTAAACAAATGAATGAATAAATAAAACCAAATCAAAAGACATTTATAAGGCGATTTGATGTTTAATTAAACATTGCATATTTGATGAAATTAAGAAAACAGAATGGTTTTTAAAAGCAAGATTGTGATGGCAGCATAGATACATTTGTTTTGAGTCAGGGTCTTCTGCTTCCGGGCTGGGCTTAAACTTATTTGAGTTTATATAGTGGAGGGTGACCTTGAACTTCTGACTGTCACCTTTGGAGAGCTATACTTGCAAGCATATACCTGCCTGGTGGTGCTGGGGGATTGAACCCAGAGCCTTGTGCATGCTGGGCAAGGACTTTATCAACTGATCTACATCCCCAGCCCTGACTGTCCATATATGATATAAAAGGAAGGGCTAGGTGTGGTGATGCAAGCCTTTAACCCAGTTCCCAGCAGGTAGAGATAAATCAGGCCAGCCTGGTTTACATAGCCATTTCTAGGCCAGCCAGGTCTATAGAGAGAGATACTGCCTCAAAAAAAAAAAAAAATATATATATATACATAAATAAAATAAAAATTCTTCATCTTCTGAAGAAAAGCGTGTGCATGTGTGTGGAGGCCAGAGATTGACATTGGGTTTCTTCCTTAATTGATTTCTACCTTATTTTACAAGGTAAGATCTATCATTAAATCTGGAGCTAGCTGATTAGGCTAGACTGGCTGACCTGCAAGCCCCAGGGGCCTTTAGTCTCCACCTCCCCGGTGCTGGGATTACAAGGAGCTCTTGACACGGGATGCACTTTACCAACTGATCCCATCTCTTCATTCTTAATCAAAATTTTTTAAGTACTAAGAATATTAGATGGACAGTAAGTCACTTAGCATGTGTGAGGGTTCTATCCCTAGCCCTGGAAAAAGACGTTAAATATATATATATAAAGGGGAGGGGTCCATCCCAGGGTAAATAATCACTCCCAAGAGATGTTGGGACTAAAGGCCTTTGCCACCACCGCTCACCGCTCCTTCCTTTTGGCAGTCTTAAGTAAAGTGTGAGAGACCAGGGCAAAGTCTTTTTCCCAAGACTACACCAGAGGAGCACGGTTACGTTCTCCCACAGGGGCCACTAGAGGGCGCACAAGTCCGAGCAAAGCATGCTGAGAAGCGCTGCAAGCGGCTCGAGAATCAGAAGGTCCCATGAGGGTCCTAGTTGTGGAAGGTTGCTCGAGGCTGCGGGGATGGGAGCGAGGGGTGGTAAAGTTCCTCAGTTTTTATTCTTCCAGCAGTATGTGTCCCCTCCCTCCGTTCCCAGGTCACCTTTCTGATTGAAGAGTGAGGCTATCCCCAGAGATGAGCGGAAGTCATCTCAGCGCACCCTCCCTATCTGCTGGAACCAGAGACACTCTGGTGGGACGAGGTCTCTGGAGTTTAGCGATGGGAGACTCCATAGAGTCACAGGAACCACTTAGAGCTTCATGAGATTGATATCCTTGGGGTTCTGGAGCTGGGGGAAGGCTCCAGCTGTGTCCCCCACCCAAGATGATACTCCTTCAGTGTCCTTGGCCTCTTGGGAAAAGGAAAACGAAACCAAATGTGACAAACCTGGCATGAATAATTAAACCAAGAAAAAGGTTCTTTAGTTTCAGAAAGCTGCATTTAGTTACTTGAAAGCAGCCATTTCAGCATTTTTGTTTTGCTCTGTTTTGAGACAGGATTCCTCTGTGTAGACCGGGCTGTACTGGAACTCAAGAGATCTGCCCACCTCTGCCTTCAGAGTACTGGGATTAAAGGTGTGTGCCACCACTGCCTGGCTCATTTCAGCAGTCTTAAGGGTGAAAGGCCCCTAGAGGATGTGAACCTTCCCTAGACTTTGTGGTGGTTGGTTTTGCCCTTCGAAATGATTGAATTGAGAATTGCCCAGGAGACTAATGAAGCAGTTCTCCGGGTCAGGGCATTCCCTGGGAGGATTAACTGAGGAAGAATCCAGCCGTGAGTGGAGGTGTCACCGTCCCTTAGGTTGGGGACATAAATGGAATAAAGTGGGGGAAAGATAAGTGGTGGGTTTTCTGACTTTCCATTTCCTGCCCACAAAGTGTGAGCCGCATTCCTATCACTGCAAAGATCTGCCTCGCATTAGGCCCAAGCAATGAAACTAAGGGACCACGGATGGACACCTCTGGATCCACAAGCCAAACTGAACCCTTGCTTTTCTTGCTGTTTTCTCGGGTCTATAATTACACTGGTAACAATGATAACTCAGCTGGTGAGACACTCGTGTGTAAGGACACTTGCCATCAGCTGGT